CATGTTTCAAACAGCAATATTAAATACGAAAATTACAATAAAAAGGGGAAATATAAAGAAAAAAATACATTTTTAATGACACTGAAAAGTTGGTGAAATTAATACTAATGCAAAACTTATGATTTTACTGATTAATACTAATGATTTTACTGTTGAGGGAAACAAAAGGGAATTTAAGAAACCCCACAGTTGGGAGGCACGAAGGTCATCTCGCATAAGTGGCAAGGGAGGTTATTCGAACAATGACTATCTCCGCACCCTGAAGGATGCGGGGGAATTCACTGGTTGATATTTTGGTCACAGCCGTCTTTTTGAGACACTGCAGCTCTGGCCGATTCTTAGGCCACCCGTCTTTTAAAGGATAAAGGATGACTGCATGAAGCGATTTCTCGTCTTCTGATTTCAGAAGTACGAAGTAAAAAGGAAGTATTGTAATCGCGAAAAGTTTCAGGCAGCATATTTCAACGAAAATATCCATTTTGACAGCTATTGAATGAAATTTAACTAAGTTTTGCGTGATATCTGTATGTAAGGACAGAATAAAAGACTCTTTTCCTCCGAAAAAATATAAAACTGCTTTAAAATTAATTCTGAAGAGAATTTTTCGTGGCGTCTGTACGAACGTATGTATGTATCTCATATCGCATAACTCAAAAACAAGTAGCCTCAGAACGTTGAAATTTTGTATATAAGATTGCTATAACATGTAGATGTGCACCTCGTATTTTGGTTGCAGTCGGCCGCACCAAACGTATATAAATATATTTATATATATCTCCACTCTGTTACCCGGCTCAGTGATCTCAGTTTTCTTTATTCTTATATGTTTGTAAATTGTACATTTTTTGCTTTAAAAATGATTAAATTATGTTGTTCTTATCTTCCGGTTAAGATTTTTATGCCTTTAGTAAATATGTATGCAATATTTTTTGAATTATTAACAATTTTAGAGCTGTTTAAGTGCCGCTAAGCCTAATAATGTTTTTGATGGCGGCCATTGTTTGTTTACATTTGAAACAGCAGAATAGTGGATTTGTTGCCAATCTAGAGAAACTTAGCTTCGCAACAACAAAGATAACACCTTCATTTACTATTGTGAATTAAATCATGCTTAATGTTTTCTGGAATTTTTTCGAGGAAATAAGTGTTCAAGATTTACTTTGTAATTTTTAATACAGATATTTTGACTTTTTATGTATTTTTGCCTTGTCGTGAGGTGAGAACTGAATTAATTGAATGAGAAGTACACAATCGTCTGTGAAAAACTCTTTCTTTTTTGTTTTGTTTGCTTAATTTCTTTTATACATCGTTCTAGCTTTATTATAGTATTTGAATAGAACATGTGGCAGCGATTAGATAATTCTTTAAACAATATAAATTTTGTGCATTCTGAGTTATAATATGAATGAAATATAATACTGTTAAGTGAACCTAGCGCCAGTGTGTCGCTATGGTAAATAAATAGAGTGAATTTTAAAGAATACATTTGTTCTATTGTGGTTTATGCGAAGTAGATTTATTTCAATCCAATAAGTTTAAATGAAATGCAAGGAAAAATGCTTATAATTTAATATTCCATACAAGGAAGTCATGTGGTGTACACATCAGATTTTTTTTACCTATTTATACTTAAATTGCATTGAGTGCAATATCTGTTAAGGGCAAACTGTTATAAAATGAAAATTTAGAAAATGTTCAGAATTTTGATTTAAATTATTTAAATATTCATAAGAGGGGAAAAATGAATTGTATTTAATTTTAGGTGCCAAGTGAATATAATAAATATGGCTTATTATTATTTTTTTCTTTATTTTGAACTGAAATTTCATCATTAAATCTTGTAATATAATTTATTTCTGCATAGTTTTCCCCCTTTCATTGTAAACTAGTTATATAAATTGAAGTGTTATTTAAAATTTAAAAAAAAAGAATGTAATTGTTTTCCATAGGGCTGTGGTGTCGGTAGGGAAAATGACCGACTCTGACTCCGGCTGTTGGAATTTAAAAAGACTCCTACTCCCTCATATATATATATATATATATATATCAAGCAAGATAGTAATTACAATTTTGAAAAACCAATTTGGTCTAGAAAACATCTTGCGCAATATGCTGCAAAATAAGTAAAATATAAATATTGTAGTAAGCTCGCCTAAAAGTTACCAGGAACTGCTGCTCCAAAAAGTTCAACACTTTTTAAAAAATTAATACATATGAAAATCAAACCATTAAAAATGTAAAACATTAAAAAAACAGAATCAGATAAAAAAGTAAGCGGAAAATGGTAAATTAGCCCAACTCGACTTCCAAACTGGCTTTTCAAGGGAAATTTAATTTGTTTGAACGTCAAATCAAGCTAACCCCATTACGCGTTTCACTGAAACAGACAATTGAAACTTTTTTGCTATATAACGTGTGTGTGTAAACATATACACATGGATTACTGCTTATTTCTTTAATATAAAAGAAGTAATAGATGGTACAAAAAAATGATGGCATAGCAAATTATTTATATTAATTAGCATTTATCATGAAATGGAAATCTGGCATTAGTTATTTTTGAGAAACATTATAGCTTCGGCAAGACTTCTTTGTTGGAGGACCATAGATCCAATTTGATAAACTTCAGGGCTGAGAAGAGTCTTTCCACACTGACTTGAGTATGAGGAAGAGCTCTTACTTTTAGGGCTACTTCTTTTAACTTTTCAGGATAGATTTTTATAAGTTCTAAAAGTCTTGCATGCGTAATCATATTTCTCTATTTCTTCAAAGGCCGTGTAGAAATCTTGTTTGTATTTTTTCATTTTTATATCTAAAGGCTCTTGGTTCTGTACATTTGCTTTGCCGTAGCCTTTTTAATATTATCCAAAAATATTTCTCAAAATCTAATTCATCTTTGTAAGAGGATGATAGAGACTCAATTGCAATGTCTGCAGTTTAACTGTCCTGATTCGAATTCTTCAATTGTTCTGAGAATGATTTCATTCGATGAAAGTTCATAGATGGCTTTTTTTGCCTTTTTAAATTTTTTCCTTATCCAAGAAAATTCTGTGTTTCGAAACTACATATATTGAACCCAGCAAGATCTCATTGTCTAACAAACTAGTTTCTCTTTTGTTCATTGAAGAAATGATTCCTTCGGCAATAAACTCTCCATTTCAGAAAGAACTAACATCACATTCTTCCATTTGAGCCTCCTGTCAATTCTTCAGATTGCAGCTTTTTTGTGGTAATATACGGTGTAGAAAGAAGAGTTTCCAATTCTGCAAGATCATTCTACATATTCTAAAACGTTCTTAATTCTAACAACTTCTTTATCATCAAATATGTACTTTCTTATTGTGTTGCTTGATCAATAATTGCTCCTTTTCATGCTCGCTTCCTAAGAATTTCATCAATTTTGGGAGTTCTTGCTGCTATTGCTGCTTGCCCTAAATTTAACAGTGAGATTTGTAACTAAATGAATCAATTTAAACACTAATGGCAAATATCACATCTGTCTTCTTCCCTTATATTTATTTATTAATATGTCAATAAAATAGAAAATAACTATTTATTAATGTATGTAGTCCATAAATAAAAATAATAACTCAGCTTGTCATTAATTTTTTTTTTTTTTTTTTTTTTGCAATTCATTTTAATTTCATTTCAAATCCAAACTGCCCAACAAAAATTGAAGTCAGACTTGACCTATTTTTAGCGACTTTAGCTCCGATTCCTTTTACTCCAAAATCTGCCCGATTCCATGACTCCGACTCCACAGCCCTGGTTTTTCATGGTTGAGTAATGCTCATTCTTGAGTAAGGCTTAATAAATACTGCATTTCTCATATTTTAAATTACAAGTCTAATTTTTCTTTTAAGGTTTTGCAGTTGTGTATAATGTAATTAAACAGGTGCTTATTTTTTTTCTTAAAATGTCCTTGAAACGTGCTTATAGGTAGGCGTCTGAAGATCATTTCTATTCCTCCTTTCTACCCTTTCCCACATCATGGAATGGGGCAACAGGAAGTCATTTAAGTTTTTTTTTAAGCTGTCTTTTGTGCTACGTGGCAGCTTTTTCATACATTATACGACACGTGCCTGGTCGTGTTTTAAAATTAGGAAATTTTTTTTTTCTCAAACATTTTGTAATTTTGTGTTATTAATTGCCATGTATTATTTTAATTTGAATGCATTTGGCTCTGTAAATTTTATGCTGGTTTTCATGGCAAAAAAATATGTGCAACCAGCTGATTTTGCTCGGATTCTTCAAGAATTATCTGTTGAAGAAAAGGAAAACAAAAAAACCTTTGGATGGGAGAACAGTAACGATTTCCATTCCTTATTTTCTTTTATTTATATTTTTTAGAAATAAATAAAAACATTAAAATTAGTTTAAAATGCATTTTTGTAACCAGTAAGAAGTAAATTTCCTTGCAGAAATAAGTAATGCTAAACTTACTTTTTTTCCTACCAAGGTGTTTTCCTTTTTTATTGTCTATACTTGTCTTTGATGAAATATTTCTTAACAAATTTATTATCAATGTTCACTCATTTCTGTCATTTTTGATATCATTTGTATATCATTTGTATTTTATTGTAATATTGTGTATATCATTTGTATATGTTTGTGATATCATTTGCATTTTGCAATAATAAGATTAATGTTTTATTTCTTAACAAATTGATTATCAATATTCACTCATTTCTGTCGTTTTCCGTGCCAAAAACGGTAAAATAACGGATGTCATAAGAAATACGACGCGCGCGTGCTCATGTAAAATTGCCAAGCGCGCAAGCTGGAAGGTACATTTTCAAGAACATTCAAATAAGTTTATTATTTGAATGTTCTTGAAAATGTATTATTATTTTTTTAGCATTTTATAACAATTAAATGTATTGCCACATTGGATTGAAATAATATATTTTCAAAAAATGTATATTATGTACCTTTTTTTTTTTTTTTTTTTTTTTTTTTTTGAGATTTGAATGCAAGGATTAAACTTATTCTATATTTAGGATTTGACTCCTCTGAAAGTGAAAGCAGTGACAGCGAAGAAGAAAGCCATTTATTTAGTCAATTATCTTGGTTTTGTGCTTGGGATAGAAGGAGTTCAAGGTAAAGTAGATTGCTTCTGCTGGAGCATAATTCTGGGTCTAAAACTAGTATTACAGTCTCTGAAGCAATTTCACATGACCTTGCAATACATTTCCCATAAATTAATAGCATATAGCAAATACGTATTAGAATTCTTTCCTTAGTATCATTAATAGTAATATGTATGTTTTGATAAACATTGAGTAAATTAAATTTAAAATCAAGTGAAAAACATTTTGTCTTTTTTAACTTTTGATAAAACAAATTTTGGCTTATCAGCTGCTTTCAGACCAGGCAATTTAAGACCACTGTCCTAGGTTATTGCAAATCTGCAGTACAGCATCATTCAATGAAAATTTAGAAACCCTCAGAAAATCTCGAAAATTTGTTGCCACAGAGCAGAATTAAAAGCATTTATGTCTGAAATTAAGTGAAGATTTATATCTAAAAATATTGTAAATAAAACCAGAATTTAATATAAAATGATCACAGTACATATTTTCCCTTGAACCATGAAAGTTGGCAGAGATCCTGCCAAACTTGAAAGAACAGATCATACTTTATGTAGCTAGATAAACACCAATTGCAGCACATTTAAGTACTAATTAATTAAATTTATAATTACAGTAAAACTTGATTATATGGAAAGTTCAGGAAATGCCTAATTCTAAATGCTGGAAAATTCCAGATAGTCGAGCATATAAAAAATGGAATTCATGTTAGAAGAGCCAAATGAATGCTGGATAGTCATACTTTTACTGTACTTTATGATCTCTAGCCTATAGATTATTTGGCATTCACATTGTTTAAAAACATGAGCCTGTTATTCTGTCATCTAAAAGTTTGTCATGCCATTTAAAAAGGTCAGCTTTGTGGAGGTAATGGCATGTAAATTCCCTTAAATACAAATCTAAGTAATTTTATGATGTTTTTTATTGTACCATTTTGTAAAACTATACAGTTCAGTGTTTTGAGAACACCAGTGTTGAGATCTGCAAAATTATATCATTGATTAAAATGGTAATTACTGGTGTCAGAAATGGCTAATCGAGGATTAATCAAGGTTACGTAAACCAAAGTTGGAGTTATAATGAGTGTGTTGTGATATTATGCTCATCCATTATTGTGGTTAAATCGCATTGTTTGGCAGCAGTCTTTGTTTGTCAGAAATGGTTGATGGGAAAATACGTTTAGTGCCATGGTCACCTAGGGAAAACAACTAAATATGTATTTTTAATAGTATTTAATTCTGAAATATTATTCAGAGATATTAAATATTTACATAAAGTTTTCTGTTGAAAATAAAAAGATAGCTCTGTGTTATAAGTGTATCTGTAATCTGTTGTAATTTTTTTCCTGTTTAGAAAAGATACATGTGTATGTGGGATTGCCAAGTTATTTTGCATTGTAGAATATTGATATGTTTCAAAACAGTTTTAATTTTTTATTCCTTCTTTCAACTATTTGTATTAAAAGAAATGTGTCAATTTACTTAAAATGTAGTCAAGGACTTAAACATGTTTCATTGTAGTTTCATATACATTTTGATTCAACATCGTAATATAGGAGGTGGAAGAGATATATTACTTGTGGCTATTAGGAAACATTTGTATTAATTGCCAGCTAGTGTAGAATATTTTTATCATGTACACTCTGCAAAAAGGAACAGTTCTGTATCTCCTGTTCTATGAAATACGTCCGTATTGACGAAATTCAAAATGCATTTTTCATATGTTGAAAACGTGACTTAGGCTATATATTAGATTTATATATAGCATTGTTTTAACATAGGTCTGGCGACACACTGCTTTCTGTGGCAACCCTAAAGAATTCGTTTGTCACGAAGATCACATGTCCAGATACATTACGTCTACGTCTGCTTTTTCTGTTTGATAGTTAGTTGCATTTAAGATTTTGTAGAATAAGAAATGGCATGAAAAATAAATTTTGGTTTTTTAAAAAGTGTCGGCTCAGATTTTTGAACCTATAATTTACTTGTTAAGCAACAAATTTGGTGAGCCAGCCAGGATGAATGTCGCAGGGTGACATTATCGATTTCGACACTTGATAATTAACGAAAATAAGAGAAGTTCCTAGGTGCAAACTGGAGGATGTAGAAACACTAAAACAGAAGCGGAAATTAGCATTTACGAAACAGCAATAAGTTGGAAGAACTGATGATCAGATTCTCCAGATTTGGATGATTTAAAATTTATTAGATAAAATTTTAGAGAAGTATAAAATTTACAAAAATCTTTTTTAGAACTTTACAGAAAAAAGGTTGTCAAGAAGAATACGAAAGAGAGTTTAGTGCAGTCAAGAATATTCGATGAATTATCTACGTTGAAAGTAAAAGCCACCAGGAAAAAGGATAAGTGTTCACAGCCTTCTACTGGTTCAACAATAGCGTTCTTCATCAGGAATAGTTACGGCCCACAAAACAAACGCCAGAGATCGAACTGGTGAAGTCGATGGGACGCCCGAATGTTTAACGTTTGGACGGTTTAGTAAAATACACGAAGATACTCGCATCGACAAGAGAGACAAGTTTCATTATCTACTGCAATCTACAAACCTGAGACTGTGCCAAGAGCAATAGTGGAAGTTTCCTGCTACGGAAGAAAATACGAAAAAGGCGTGAAGTATCTCAAAGAACGATTTGGAAATGAAAATGTTTTAATTCAAATTTATGTTAGAGAGCTATTAAAATGGTAATCAATGATAACAAAAGACAGACTTATTAACTCTTTATGACAGTTGCAAACTCAATACGCACATTGGAACACTCGGTTTTAACTAAAAGATAAATTTGCAGTTGTTTTATTTCCTTTAGTGGAATCAGCACTTCCTGCTGATTTAAATATAATTTGGAAAAGACAACAAGGATGTCACCTGAAACAACAGGTAAGAGTGATTTGAAGTCATTAATTTGATTTTCTAAAAGGGAAGTAGAAACTGAATTAGAGTTAAACTTACCCGTGATGTTTTTTTTTTCTGATAAAGTAAGTAATAAGAAAAATAAGTTTTTTACACAAAACCTGTTGTTCCAACTGCATGTGAACTAATTAATGCAAATAGTAGTAAGTGTAATGAAAATTTTCAAAAGTGTAAAAGTCTGTACTGTATTTTTGTGAAACATCTATTTGTCTGAAATTTGTAAGATGCATCTTTTATGAGTTTAGTGTAAGAAAGATATCATTAAGAAAAAGAATGTTTGTTTTATGTGTCCTAGAAAAACCATAGAGCAAATCAGTGCACAGCTAAACATAGGTGTACCTTATGTAAAAATCGACATTTTGTGATTATGTGCCCTGATTTGCCTTCTAAACAAAACAAAAAGTGTCACCAAGTTAGGGAATGAAGAAAACAAAATCAGGCATTCTTAATAGCTATGTTAAGGTATCAGATGTATATCTTCAAACTTTAATTGTAAAAGTTCAGAATGGTTTTAAAGAAATGTTTGTACAAGCAGTTTATGATAGTGGTTTTATGACATCATATTTATGTAATGATGTTGCTGAAAGGTTAAATTGTAAATGTATTGGTGAATCAAAAATTAAGCAATTTCTTTTTGGTGAAGTTGAGACTTCAGAAAATGTGTATAAAAACTATGTTATTGAAGTAAGCAATATATATAGTAAATATAAGTGTAAATTAGAGGTACTTGGTCAAAACAAAATATGTTCTGAAATTAAACAACTCCCTCCCATCTGGTTCGTGGTTACGCGAACTTAAGTCACATGGTATCAAATTAAGTGATTTAGAAAATGGTCCATGTAATGTCGATAAAGAGATAAAATTACTAACTGGTGCAGATTTTGCTAACTTGGAAACTGGAAAAATTGTTCCCCTTACGTGCGGCGAGCACGGTGCATACGCAGTTAGGCTGGACTGTTATGGGTAAATTTACTGGCACTGAGCCAACTACGATAAATACTGCATCCCTCCCTCCTAATTTCTTCTTCTCTGTTAGGTGAAGGGTCAATGCATCAATGATCTCTGGAAGTTAGATGTTTTGGGTATTAGTGAAACCTTCCGTTAAGTAAAACCAAAACCCAGTTACAGGAGGATACGCAAAAATATTTTGAAGAGACTTTTACGGTAAATTCAGAGGGAAGGTACGAAGTAGCATTACCTTGGGTGTCGGATAGCTCGCTTTTATCCCGAAAACAAAGTGATAGCAGAAAAATGTCTTGTAAGTACTAAAAGAAAATTAATGACTACGGGAAAATTTTGACGCTTACGGAGACGTTTTCCAGAACTGTTTAGCACTCGGGATAATTGAAAAAGTACCTGGATAAGAATAAATATAAGGGTGTACATTATTTACCTCATAGAGCGGTTGTTAAAGAAAATAGTAGCACGAGTATAAGACCAGGTGTTTAACGCAAGTTCTCATTCGCCTGGTTTACCCATCATTGAACGATTGTTTATCTACTGGACCAAATTTAATTGAAATTATACCTTCGATTCTTAATCGGTTTCGCAAGAATTACGTTGGTGTCACTTCAGATATAGAAAAAGCGTTCTTGCAAATTATCTATAAGGGAAAAAGATCGAGACTTTTTGAGATTTATGTGGTTCAGTAGGGATAATCAAGAACAAGTTGAATTGTATCGGCATAGTAAGGGTAGTTTTTGATATTACGTGTAGTCCGTATTTATTGTCCGCTACAATACAACATCATTTGAGCGTAGTTCCTGAAAACTTAACTCATACAGCGGAGATTTTGAAAACATCCTTTTACGTAGATAAATGTGTGACTAGTATGGAATTCAGAAATAGAAATGAGAAAGTTTGTAAATGAATCACAAATAATTATGGCTTCGGGTCATTTTAATTTAAGATTCTGGAAATCCAATATAAGAAGTGTGACCAGAGGAAGATTCCTCCACGGAAGGAGATGTGTCTGTTTT